ACTACTACACGGGACACGTGTTTTGATGTAAATAAACAATCTGTTGTATACGCCACTTGGAACTCACGTTTCAAGGACACGCTCGCGTCAACCCCTCCGCTTTAATATGACGAGCACAAACAGAACTTTCAAAAATTTAACGGGGACTGTGTCATTTTCAATGACTTGTGTTTCAGAGACTTGGTGGGTCATTACGAGCCAAGTCTAATGATGTTTTAATGTCATTTACATAGATATTGAAAAGAAGTGGCTGAGTTCATCCCCTTGTCTAGTTCCTCTATTAATTGTATAACAATTTATTTGTTTAAGGGCTTCCATCGATATTCCACAGATCGTTACTGGCATGTACCACACTTTGAGAAGATGTTATATGACCAAGGGCAATTAACTGTTTCCTACCTAGATGCATACCAGGTATTGAACCTTTTATCAGTTGCTTAAATATTGACTGTTAGGAATCATTTGCATATCATCCTGTAATTTACCCTGCATTATTATTATTATTGGTTTTTATCCATTTTATAATGGTTATAGTCTGCCATGGTGCTACTTATTAAGAAAGCTTGTTACCAAGCTGTGTCTAGAATTTCCATCTCTAAAAGTAGCTCTTCCTATAAATACTGCAGAAGATAAGATATGATTACCTAACTGAATTGTGTTGTAGGTATATAATAATAAGAGTGCTCATTGTACATACGGTTGATTTCTATATGAAATATGCCTTCCAAGTTTGCTATATACATAGTAATAATATATATAATAATATGTGAAAAACCAGTATACAGTATACATCCACAGTTAATGTGGATTTTTAGCAAGATCTTGCATGAAGCTGGTTTAGAATATTTGAAAATGGGTGACAAAGAAAACCTTTCTTGCTAGTATCAGTATAAGTTATTTACTGTATTATATATACCATATAAATTTATTAGTTGAGGACATTCCGTTTTCTTTCTTCTTCCATATAATTACAAAGACAATGTTTTTTCTGACTAATTCTTCTTTTCCTACAAGATCACACATGATAGGACATTTGCAGATATTGCCAACAATATACTTCAGTATGTGTCAAGAGATCTACAATGTAAAGTAAGTATGGCTTATTATCATTATCAAAAACTTTTTTCTAATCATAGCCTGTCAGCCAGATGAACCACTGTTAGTCACTCATTGAGTGAGTGAGTAAGTCACTGTTAGTCACTCAGTGAGTTAGTATTACTAACTAAAAGTCACTGCTAGTCACTCAGTGAGTGAGTTAGTTAGTAAGTCACTGTAAGTCACTCAGTGAGTGAGTGAGTAAGTCACTGTTAGTCACTCAGTGAGTTAGTATTACTAACTTAAAGTCACTGTTAGTCACTCAGTGAGTGAGTTAGTAAGTCACTGTTAATCACTGTTAGTCACTCAGTGAGTGAGTGAGTTAGTAAGTCACTGTTAGTCATTCAGTGAGTGGGTTAGTAAGTCACTGTTAGTCACTCAGTGAGTGAGTGAGTGAGTGAGTTGAGTAAGTCACTGTTAATTAGTCACTCGGTGAGTTAGTATTACTAACTAAAAGTCACTGTTAGTCACTCAGTGAGTGAGTTAGTATAAGTCACTGTAAGTCACTCAGTGAGTGAGTGAGTAAGTCACTGTTAGTCACTCAGTGAGTGAGTGAGTGAGTTGAGTAAGTCACTGTTAATTAGTCACTCAGGGAGTTAGTATTACTAACTAAAAGTCACTGTTAGTCACTCAGTGAGTGAGTTAGTAAGTCAATGTAAGTCACTCAGTGAGTGAGTTAGTAAGTCACTGTTAGTCACTCACTGTGAGTGAGTAAGTCACTGTTAGTCACTCAGTGAGTGAGTAAGTCACTGTTAGTCACTCAGTGAATTAGTATTACTAACTAAAAGTCACTGTGAGCCACTCAGTGAGTGAGTAAGTCACTGTTATTCACTCAGTGAGTGAGTGAGTAAGTCACTGTTAGTCACTCAGTGAGTTAGTATTACTAACTTAAAGTCACTGTTAGTCACTCAGTGATTGAGTGAGTTAGTAAGTCACTGTTAGTCACTCAGTGAGTTAGTATTACTAACTTAAAGTCACTGTTAGTCACTCAGTGAGTGAGTTAGTAAGTCACTGTTAGTCACTCAGTGAGTGAGTGAGTTAGTAAGTCACTGTTAGTCATTCAGTGAGTGGGTTAGAAAGTCACTGTTAGCCACTCAGTGAGTGAGTGGGTGGGTGAGTGAGTGAGTAAGTCACTGTTAGTCACTCAGTGAGTTAGTATTACTAACTTAAAGTCACTGTTAGTCACTCAGTGAATGAGTTAGTAAGTCACTGTTAATCACTGTTAGTCACTCAGTGAGTTAGTATTACTAACTTGAAGTCACTGTTAGTCACTCAGTGAGTGAGTTAGTAAGTCACTGTTAATCACTGTTAGTCACTCAGTGAGTGAGTTAGTAAGTCACTGTAAGTCATTCAGTGAGTGAGTGAGTGAGTGAGTAAGTCACTGTTAGTCACTCAGTGAGTTAGTATTACTAACTAAAAGTCACTGTTTGTCAATCAGTGAGTGAGTTAGTAAGTCACTGTAAGTCACTCAGTGAGTTAGTAAGTCACTGTAAGTCACTCAGTGAGTGAGTAAGTCACTGTTAGTCACTCAATGAGTGAGTGAGTGAGTTGAGTAAGTCACTGTTAATTAGTCACTCAGTGAGTTAGTATTACTAACTAAAAGTCACTGTTAGTCACTCAGTGCATGAGTTAGTAAGTCACTGTAAGTCACTCGGTGAGTGAGTAAGTCACTGTTAGTCACTGAGTGAGTGAGTGAGTTGAATAAGTCACTGTTAATTAGTCACTCAGTGAGTTAGTATTACTAGCTAAAAGTCACTGTTAGTCACTCAGTGCGTGAGTTAGTAAGTCAATGTAAGTCACTCAGTGAGTGAGTTAGTAAGTCACTGTTAGTCACTCAGTGAGTGAGTGAGTGAGTAAGTCACTGTTAGTCACTCAGTGAGTTAGTATTACTAACTAAAAGTCACTGTTAGTCACTCAGTGAGTGAGTAAGTCACTGTTAGTCACTCAGTGAATTAGTATTACTAACTAAAAGTCACTGTTAGTCACTCAGTGGGTGAGTGAGTGAGTGAGTGAGTGAGTAAGTCACTGTTAGTCACTCAGTGACTTAGTATTACTAACTAAAAGTCACTGTTAGTCACTCAGTGAGTGAGTTAGTATAAGTCACTGTAAGTCACTCAGTGAGTGAGTGAGTAAGTCACTGTTAGTCACTGACTGAGTGAGTGAGTTGAGTAAGTCATTGTTAATTAGTCACTCAGTGAGTTAGTATTACTAACTAAAAGTCACTGTTAGTCACTCAGTGAGTGAGTTAGTAAGTCACTGTCAGTCACTGAGTGAGTGAGTGAGTGAGTGAGTGAGTGAGTGAGTGAGTGAGTGAGTGAGTGAGTGAGTGAGTGAGTAAGTCACTGTTAGTCACTCAGTGAGTTAGTATTACTAACTTAAAGTCACTGTTAGTCACTCAGTGAGTGAGTTAGTTAGTCATTGTTAGTCACTCAGTGAGTGAGTTAGTAAGTCACTGTAAGTCATTCAGTGAGTGAGTTAGTAAGTCACTGTTAGTCACTCAGTGAGTGAGTGAGTGAGTATTAAAGTCACTGTTAGTCACTCAGTGAGTTAGTATTACTAACTTAAAGTCACTGTAAGTCACTCTGTCTTGATCATACATTTTGCATTTCCCTTGATTTTTGCAGACAGTTTTCTGTCCCTCTGTGTCTATGGCATTAAATGTTGTTTCTTTTCAGAGTGGTGGTTTCTATAGTGCTGAAGATGCTGACTCCTTTCCTCATGAGTGCTCAGAGCAGAAAAAGGAAGGTGCCTTTTGTGTGTGGACTTGCAGTGAGGTTGAAAAAGCCCTTTCTGAGTACATTGAAGGAAGTGAAAGTATTAAACTTTCGGATGTGTTCTGTCAACACTATGGTGTTAGCTCTGGGGGGAATGTTGGTTTTGAACATGTAAGTACTGGGTATATATCTCAAACCATACCACTACATGTAGCTTAGTAACAATTGGACACTGGCCAATATTGAGATGCAACTATTAAAAATTATAATAATAATAATTGTTTATTGCATCTTTAGAAATATACATTTCTTTCAGTATATAGCAATAGCAATATTAATCAATACAGAAAAATAAAATATAACAAGTTAGTAAGAATTTTAAAAAGTGAATAAAATATAATAAGTTCAAATCACATGTTTTTTGTGCATTGTTGGAAAGCCGTGAAGATATATTGGGCAACATGCTTAATTGGGGTTTTGTCTGTTATTGTCACTATAAATTGAAATTTTTCATTATTAGTTTCGATTTCTTTTGGGAATATTATATGTGAGAACCGTAATGTCATGTATTTTGGACAAACTATTTTAGTAAATGTTCTTCATCTTTTACATTATGCAAATCACAATGTAGACAAATTCTATCTTGTAATGTTGTTTTGGGGCATGTGTATCTGCCTGTTTCTATACCAAGGTCATGATTGCTTATCCTAAATTTTGTTAGAATGATTCTTTGTTTAATATTCACAACATTTGATAAATATTGTTCATAACAAATATCTTTCTTAAATTTTGAGTATGTACGTAATTTGCTATCATCTTTCCTTATGTTTGATCGCCAATGATCAGTGTATTTTTGTTTCATTTGACATTTCACTTTGTTAATCAAATTTTTGGATTTTGAGTCTAAGATTGTTTCCTCTGTATCATACAGTGAGTTCTGATTAATTTCTGTCAACATGCCTTTTATTGTGTGCATTCAAATATTACTATTCTGTTGATTGTTTTGTTCATTCTATGCCCATTTTGTTATATTGTCTTCTTGAAGTTCCCGTAGTCTTAACCAATATTTAAACATAGAAGTATGTATTTCAGTCAGTAATGGAAAACTACCAGCCTCACTTCTACAAGCGGCATTGTTAGCATATTTGTTCAGTCCAAGATTCTTTTACAGTATTTAAGATGTATTTTTTCAATAGCACCTCTATCTCATTTAGTGAAATCAATGATCTCTGAACCCAAGATTTCTGCACCATATAACAATATTGGTTTGATATTGGTATTAAATACCTTGATAAAGATGTTGATATATGTGTTAAATAATAGTGCTTTGTTAAGCGCAAAGAGTGCTTTCGGATAGTCTTTTTCAAAATTTCCTGATGATGCCATCAATAATTCAATATTTCAAACATTTTAATAAGCCATTACACGATATAACAAGCCACTCTGTTCTCTCTGTGTGTCTATCCCTCTCTCTCTCTCTCTCCATCAGTATTTCAGACATACTATAGCTGACCATGTTCATACTTTACACAGCATGGACGAATGAATGGGACAGTACTGTAAAATCTGTATTAGAAGCCACGGCTTCTATTAAAATGGTACAGTACAACAGAGGTGATGTGGCTTCTATTAGAGCATCTACACATATGAGAAACAATGAATTTTTGGTTCTCAATTGTTTAAAAAGAATGGATATGACTTCTATGAGGGATGCGGCTTCTAATACAGATTTTACGGTATAATGTACCGGTAATTACTATCACAATATTATCAATAACAATTCAATGGTTTAATACCACATTCATGAATATCAGAAATATTGGCACATGAATGAACATTATTTGTTCTACTAAGTACCTCAATAGTTTAGTCAACCTGTGTTAAATAGTGAAATACATTGTACTGTTGTTAAATTACATACAAAATAAGAAAAGAAAAGGTGAAAATCAATTAATGTATTGTTGTTCTATATTTTCAGTGTGATTTAGCTGTTGTTTATTTGAAATCATTATTGTATTGTATGTGTAGTTTAATTGTAGTTTATTTTATAAAGCTTTAATTAACAAAACTGAAATGTTAAATTTCATTAAGGATGTAATAAATCA